CAGAAAATTTGAGTTCAGGATTCAGGGAAATTCTGTTTTTCAATAATTCTGAAAACACATAAATCAGAATTTACGTCTGAATCTAAGCAAATAATCCCCCGATTCCATATTCTTGGGACAAGAAGAGTATCCAAAAACTCCTACCTGGGAAAGGCTGGGAGATGATCTGATTCTTCACAACAATGTGAGGAATTTGTGATTTAATCTGAACAGCTTCTCGTGACAGCTGGGCAAAAATTTCTTTACATAAGAGAACATTCTGTGCAGTCTCCAATTTTGTCTGCCAGTGTGGAGAACCTGAAACACTTAAATTAGTCTTTTCAGAAGAAAAGAGTAAGGAGGAGCTCCTCTTTTATTTTTTTGTTCAGATATCAGGTACTAAGCATAGGTGCTAACTATAGGGCATCAAATGAATATATCGGCTAAAATAATAAGATAGTCAGCATCTTCTATCCAAATTGAATCTTTTTAGAATTTTACCTCAGTTAGGCATAATAAAAACATACTGAAGGAAAGAAAAGCTTTAAGAAAGTGCTAGTAAATTTTACTCAGATTTTACACCTATGTATGTTGTGAACCGCTACTCCCTTCTGGAACTTCACGTTATATTCCCAGATATTTTGTGAACGCTGCTTATAGAACCCCTGCCTTCATGAGCTGCAGTTTACATTCAATGATACGTGCAGCTTTACTAAATTCACCCTGCAAAGAACCACCAAATAACGTTAAATTTAGCTATCTGCCATTGTAGGCCGAAATTCTTGAAGATTCTGGTGTGAATAAATACACAAGCTCTATATTGCATCCTGAATACCACACGAAACATCTAGTAATACAGCATCCTGTCTATATTCAAGACAGCACAAGCACCTGTGGTCACAAACCACCGTGAAATAAAATCCTGCCAGGATCAAGTTATTTTTAATCTTAAACAGCTGAAGGTTAGTTTATAATATCAAAAGTTCACAGCTTCAGATACCAGCATGTATCAAAGGAATCAAGCTATTATCTGCCAGGTGAGCTATTGTAGTCACTGCCCGTGCTGCCAATACGGTTTCAAATTCAGAGAAAACATGAGAGCCACAGCAACAAGCGACGCATTCTAGGCAAAATTAAGAGTGAACAGACAGTCATTTAATTCAGTTGAGCTGATGGGCTGTTAACTGGTTGAACCACAGTAACTTGGTTTGCTTTCAGTTATGTGCTCAAACTCGTAACAGCAACTTCATTGACAGAAGGTGCTCTAGACTACTTGAATACAACTCCAAGAATTTAATTTTGGAAACGGGGCAAACACGTATGAAACACTGAGGGACTCGTAACACTTTGAAAGTGTCACGTTTCCAAAGCTTAAGCAGCATCTTACACACAAGATTTTTAGTCTAAATAATCACAAGAGAACATTTCACTCTTCTTTCAAGCTCTTTGCAAGAGTTATCAAATAAACATCATATGCAAACACATTCCCTAAGCATGCTCTTGATGCGTGGTCAGGAAACAACATACAGCTGTACCTGGTTTTGATTTTGGCATGGGTCTTTTAAACAGATTAACTGTCCCAAGGTCACCAATGTCTGGAGCTTGTTTCTGAATAGAAACCTGTGAAAGAGAAGGTTACTTGCTGCTTGTTTGTTATTGCAAGCATACGAATAACAAAAAACAAAAACCACACCATATTATTAAAGTTTCTGACAAACCTTTATATAGGCTGATCCCTCCAAATCACTTGGAATTTGAACATCCAGAGGACAGTAATCCTCAGGTATCTTTTTATCCAGGTCAATGTCAGTGTTCTTTATCACCTCGAATGTGCCATGATGAAGAAAAAGGGAACCTAAAAGAGGAAGCAGACATGCTATATAGCATCTTCTGCAAATAAGGAAGCCTCAAAATATATGAAACCAGAGTGAATTCACTCTGAAACCAGAGTGAATTCTCCAGATCTTCACAGTTTACATAAAATTTGCACTTGACTCGAATTACTTCTTAAAAAACACTTGTAAATAAAAAAAAAAACAAACCTCTGTTAAGTGCAGCATCTCCTCAGTCCTGCAGGGTGTGATGTGTAATATTATGTAATAAGTTAACAAGCAGTATTTAATAATTATAGAACAACAATAGTGTTTTAAAACAGTTGATGTAGGGAAGGAGAAGAAAGTTACTTAGTCAAAAAAAAAAATTCAGTGCCTGAAGTTTTGCCAGCAAGCAGCTAAAAGTATACATCCTTACTGATTTAAAGCAATACTGTTTATGTTTGGCACGCAGCCTTAAAACTATAACAGTGTTCAGCCTGTAAAAAGCAACATCGGAGCCATTCACTGCGGTGGGGCTGACAGAAGCATTTGCTTACATCTGACCTAGCTGCAACCCTTTCACATGTAGGGCATGATTCATCTAGATTAGGAAGAATAGTCTAAAAAGGGGCATATCCTAGGCTACGTCTACAACTTCATTAACACAAGATGAGTAACAGCCTAAATGGTCTTTACCCCTTTCACTGACTACAACAGGACACTAGCACAGACAGATGTCTGCATTGTACCTACATGTTAGTTTTGGTGAGATTCTGTATTCAATCCTGCATTCCACACTTGGTTCTAAAACTCCAGGTCGGTTACCTTTTCCTACTGTAATTCATTTAGTAAGGTATCGGCAGGCCCAGTATCAATTCTCAATCTCTGTCTTCACTCAGGAAAAAAAAAAATGCAAGATACTTTTTTTAATAGACTAAACATGGATAAAAGTCAAAAGATTTACAAGGTCTACCTGGCAACTTATCAACCCCACTGCCAATGCAGAACTGCTCCTTAATAATATTTTTATTAATACTCTAAACATTTAGCCTTTAAAATCACTTCCTCACATTACGGATGAAAAGATGCTTCTCCTGATATTAAAACAAGTTTCCATTCATTCAATAAAACCACTCATTTCTGTTTTACTAGTTACTAAAAAAATACTCAGTAAGATAAAAATATTCATTCCTGAAAAAAAAAAAAATATTACTATATACCTGCACTTCTGTAGCTGAGGTCACCCAGAATTTTGTCTCCCACTTTTCTCAGCTTCCAGTGTTGTCTCAGCCTCAGCAGTTCAGAATTGAAGTCTCTCTGTCGTTTATTTTCCTGGTTTTCTGCAACTGATTTGGATAATCTTTCTGCTCCTTTCAATAGGATTTGGGCAGCTCCAGCTAATGACTTCTTTTTTGAGATCAACTGTAAAAACTGGGGATTCTAGTAGCAAGAAAAAAAAAAAAACTACTTATACCTTAATTTGCCAGAAATTATTATTAGCGGAAACTGACTGACAGTGACCTGCACTGACAGTGAGTGATAACTAGTTTCTACGGGACGTTCAAAAATTTATTTGAAATTACTTTCATGTCAGTGTTACATGGCCACAAGTAACGTTTTGACTGACAGCTTCAGCAAAGAGGCCTTTGAAATCAGTCTCGTGTCCCCTTCTTAGTCTTCCCCTTAACCTATAACACGCTATATCAAGACAATGCAATGAATATTTTACTAAGTTTTGTACTTATCATATAAAAGAAATTCCAGTGAAATAAAACATTCACTACCTGGACAATGAGTACAAACTGAAACACAGGAAGTTTTTGTCTAAATCAAAGGAAAAATTTTGTTACTGTGAAAGTAACTGAGCGCTGAAATTGGTTGCCCAGAGAGGCTGTGGTTGAACATCTCCATCCTTGGAGATATTCAAACCCGTCAGGACACAGTTCTGGGCAGTTTGCTGTAGACGACCCTGCTTGAGCAGGTAGGTTGGACTAGATGATCTGTAAAGGTCTCTTCCAACCTCAGCCACTCTGTGATTCTGTACAAGCTGCACAATAAGCTGCACTGTACCTGCTTTGGAGGAAGGGGATCCTGCACAACTGGATCCAGAGTCATGAACTTTTTATCCTTGACGATGCTGAGAACATCATAGAGCACACACATCTCAGTCAAGGCACTTCTTAAGTTGTTCCTCACTGAATCCCAAGGCCAGAGGGATGGCTGAAACTTCACCAGTCCTAAGAGAGGAAAAAAGCAACAAAAATAAAGGTTTGCAATAAAAGATATGGTGTAAGGGTGCTTCTTAAGTCACTGCCAGGCAACAAAAGCACGAAAAAGGCCGCTGTCCAGATCGATCCTTTTCCTCTCCACCACTGCAATTTGTTGGCTACGTTCTCCCCAACACTGGTCTGATCC